AATACATAGCGAAGGACTTTGGTTACTTCGTGTCGCTCTGCGGTAATTTATGCATGCTGTTTGCGTTCTGGTGACTCTTGGCTTTTGTTGACCATAAAATAAATAAAAGATGTCGCAAAGAATGCTTTGACACGCCCATTACTTAAGCGAATATATTTAATATATAATATATGCAATAATTTTACGTGATTTGAGATTAGTTTAAGGGGAGTCTTTATATTTAATGTATCAGGGTTTTATAATATCAGTCAGAAGTTGAAATCACAGTAAAGGAATCATTTCCGACCCTATAAATCAAATTTATTGTTGATCAGCATCAAAAGTCGAGTCGATCTACGCATTTCCGGTTGAAACAAAAAATTTTAAAGTTTTTTCGATTACTTTTTAATTTTAAAGCGGGTTACAAAATTGTCAAAAATTTCAATTCTTTAAAACTTTATAATTAATAAGCAGATTGAGTAGCCTATGAAAAACTAACATGGTACAGCTTTCCGAATTAAATTTAATGCCGTTTTGGCTGAGTTATGGCTTTTTTAAAACGTTGACTTGTCAAAAAATTGTCTTATAAAAATGCTATGAATATCGGCAAATAATGACATTATACTTTTAGTCCGAAGCTCAAATTCAGTGAAGGAGTCGTTTGCGACCCCATACATCATATATATTCTTGATCAGGATCAACGGATTCAGCGGAATCGTTTTAGCCATTTCGACAACCATTTAATTGTTTCAAAAATTTCAACATTTTTAAATTTAAATTGTACAAAAAAGATGAGAAAAATTCTAATTTTTAAATTTTAAATGAGTATCCAGATTTGCAGACCTACTAAAACTAAAACAGGAAAGGTATCCGAATTAAAATAAACGCATTTTGGCTTAGTTATGATATTTAAAAAATTAAATTTATCCATAAATTGGTTATAAAAATATTTCCATTTTATATAATTATTTGATTTATTAAAGGCTTACAGCTTTAAATTTAGCACTAGTTGCATATTAGAATTCATATATACTGAACTAATTAGTTTCTTTAATAACACAATTATTATTCAGCTCAAAATAATATTAAATTTTCATAAATAGTCGTGATAAATCCTCAGAGTTCCTCCCTATATATACTTTGTGATCCTTGGTACTCATTCCTTTCTGGTCTTAACTGAAATTATCGCCAATGGGCCATGATGTCCAGGGCCAGTTGGCCAAGTCCTTGGTGGCATTACAGACTCAGTCAGGGTCTTATCACTGAATTGGCAGTTAGACTTAATTGAATATTCAAATGGGTGCTGCTGGCAGAGCTTTTCTCTGTTTCACTTTAATTTAAAGCCAAGCCAAGCCATTGTTTTGATTTAAATTAGTGTTTGATTTGCCACTTTAAGGATTGCATGCGAAAAAAAAGAATTATATTTTCAATTAAGAGCACTAGAGATTTTATTAATGCGGTCACACTTTGCAGTCGTAATTAAATTATTCATTTTCCATTGTGTGTATTAAAAAAAAAGTAGAGAGTGGCCTGGTTAAGTAGGGAAAATTTACATAAATAATTAACATAAAATCACCATGTATTATAAGCTTTGTATTCAGTGCAAAGTGTTGGACTGAAAAAGTGCTTTTTAATAGCGAACACAAAATCCAAATTAAACATTAAATAATGCAATAGTTTTGCCAAATAGTTTAAATTTAAATAGCGAAGTAAATTCACTGTGGGATTAGGAATGCTTTTGATTCAATAAACTGAAATATATTTATTTTATTTTATTTATAACTGAAATTTGTGCATGACCACTTTATATATATTTTTCCTACATTCTTCTGGACCGTTGACTTTTCCTGTTTTTGTCCTTCCGACTGGCTTCCTGATGAAAAGCCTTCAAGTGGGTTTTACTTAAGGAAATTTCCAAGACACATTTCCCCAGAGCGAACTCAAGTGGAGCTGTGACCGCCTCCGGATTACGTTGCAGTCAAACATTTTATTTGCATTTTCACAGTTGCTCACAGTACAGTCCTTCGTCTGTTTCTCATTTGTGTCCTTTTTTGCGCCATCTTGTTTAAGCACTGAATAATGGAGATTGTGCTCGCTATTGCAAAATGCATTGATTTAAATATTTAAAAAAGCGAGAGAAATAAAATGGGCAAGACAGCTTTTGTTTAAATGCCTTTTATGTGCAATATTGAGCCTGCAGGCCGGCAGGCAATGGCAATCGGAGCAATCGAGCAATCGAGCAATAATCAATTCAAAATAATGCATGTGCATATAGAATGAATTTTTCTTTTTTTTTTTTACTTTGGCTCAAGGTTGCTGCGGTTGCGTTATTGTTCTCGTCCTGCAAGCAGATTCTGTAATATCCTTCTAAAAATGAAAGAAACGGTTTAAACACAGCTTTGGCGCGACTATAATTAGAGCGCTTTTTGCTTTCTCCTTCTTGTCCTTTGTCAATGTTGGGGAAATTAATTTCCATTTTTTCAAGGCACTGGCTAAGCGATACCCATTAGAATGATATTTGTTTTATAGTTTTTTCAACAAAATATTTAAAAACTTGTTGCTGTTTATTAATATCATTTCCTTGGGCAAAACTCTTTATATTCTTTGTTTATAATGATGAAATGAAATCATTGTAAATATATTAAAGTAACTGAATTCCTTTCTTTAACTTCCTAATAAAATATACTTTTATGTAAACTATTAAGCTATAACCATTTGTTTTTTTAATGTTATAAAAATTATTGTGCCTGCAGATTTATATTCTCAAAATGAAGTGCTTTTATAATGGTAATACGGAGAAAAAGATCTTAATCAATAAAGCTACCTCAAATTTACTTTAATTTTTAAAGACATTTATAAATAGTTTATTAAATATTCTTCTCTACTTTAAATACGCATACACCCTCTAATTTCTATAGGGTATTCCCCCAACCAAGGCAGCGTTTTTGTTTTGACGTGAAATAAAGTGTCCTGCTGCCTGGCAGCAAGTGTCGCCATAGTCTCCGGTGGTCGGCGACCGGAAATGGCATTAATGTCTAAGCTGCGCACCCGTGGCGCATATATACATATATACCGTTATATACATATATAATTAAATGCGTTGCGCGACGCCATGGCCGCCTCCGTCTGGGCAGTGCAACCTGCAAATAATTAGCACGGCTTGGAGTCCTGTGAGTAATTAAGGTAAGTCAGCTGTTGCCCTCGTCTCGCAGGCGTTGGATAAAAAATATTGTGGGGGCACAAAAACAAAGCGACGTTCATTGTCAACGGAAATTAAAGTTTAATGGGAGGACAAGTTCCCATTTTTTTTCTTGTTAAACATTTAATTTTGCAAACGCAGAATGAGCTTGTCCCTGCTGGTTTTTCACTAACCATGTGTTCACAACATTTCAAGCTATTAAACTAGAATTTTACCAACTCGATGAGACACACACACATTGCACAGAAGGGGGTGTGGAGATGAGAAAACTGTTGTGAAAACATGGGAAATTTCGAGCTTTTCATAGGGACACAGGGGGCGATTGTGTGTACATGCGTGTGTGTGTTTTTTTTTATCACCACTGGTGTGTGAAAAGCAATTACAGAAGTGATTTAGAAAAATGTGCATAAAGAGTAGAAATATTTGGACAACCAAATCTATTCGGTCATGTAGGTCATGGGGAAAGGGTGTCTACGAATAATATAATGTGACAGCAAACATGTTTTTGTATGAACTTCTGGTTTTTAAGTACTTAAGTTTAGGATTATTTTGTAATAAATGCTGGGAACATTTTTAAAGGGTTTTAGAAAATTTATAACCATTTTTAGCAGATACTTTAATTTGTTTTAATTTGTGCAGACTCTTAATTAAGGAGTTATATAATAAAAATAATAAAAAGTTAGCTTCCCATTATTGATTTTCTAGGTTTTCCAATGCTATACAGGTCTTTGAGCTGTATTTTCACAGATAACTGAATCATAATAAAGGGAATATTTAACTTATAAATGTTTCTTTAATTAAACAGAATTGAATATTATTTACTTGTAGAATTTCCATACTTTTTATTTAAATACTATTAAAATTAAAAAAGCACTCAAAGAGTTGTAAAAAGTTTGTAGGAGAAGAAACCTTTTATTATATTATTAAGCTAATTAATAGGACACACTTCACACCATGAAAAATAGTCATAATAAATATAGTTCTAAGAAAATTAATAGTTAACAAGAAAGGAAGCTAACTTCGGCACGCCGAAGTTTATATACCCTTGCAGATAGAACTTCTATGAATAAAAAACCATACAATATAAATGATATATATTTGTGTTAAAAAACAATGAAGTAATACCTGCTTTCTTTGTATTCACCTATACATATTATATTTGCAGTTTTACATTCAAAGATTTGCATTTTTCCTCTACATCAAACGATCGTTTGTATGGTACCTATATGATATAATAGTCCGATTTTCATGAAATTTGACACAAAATACCTAAAATTTGATGAAAATCAGTTGAAAACTGAAAAGGTTATAAATTTAATTGTAGTAATTTCTCGATCGTTCCTATGGGAGCTATATGATATAGTAGTCCGATTTTCATAAAATTGTATGCAAAATTGTAGAGTATAGTAAAATGGCTATATCTCAAATTTGATTCAATTCTATTGAAAACTGAAAAAGTTAAAAAATTTTTTGTAAAAATTTTCCGATCATACCTATGGCAGCTATATGATATAGTCGTCCGATCCGGCCCGTTCCGACATATATACGAGTGAGAGTATATAGAAGGCTAACTACAAAGTTTCATTCAGATAGCTTCAAAACTGAGAGACTAGTTTGCGTAGAAACGGACAGACGGACAGAAGGACAGAGGGACAGACGGACATGGCTAGATCGACTCGGCTGTTGATCCTGATCAAGAATATATATACTTTATATAGTCGGAGGTGCCTCCTTCACTGCGTTGCAAACTTCTGACTGAAATTATAATACCCTGCAAGGGTATAAAAACAAATGTTTCTTTGATTTAAAACCAACTTGTTATTAAATTTCCACTCCAATATCTAATTAGATAATGGACTTAACATTTATTGTTTTTATTGTCCTTTGTAACACCCTTTTGTTGCATTTGTAATTAATTAATTTGTCACTTAAATAGAATGTTTGTCTCTCTGCACTCTGTTGTGTGTGTTTATTTACGATTAAATGCAACAAACTGTTGCCAACAATTCATTGTTGTTGTTCAATTAAATTGTGTTTGCTTATCTGTCCACTTCAATGGCACAAAGCCCTTTATCTGCACACGGTTTTTGCTCTCCAGATTACGTTCATTTATGGGCAGTAAATAATTAGTTGATTACGGTGTGAAAGCCAGTAGCAGTTATCTGGGAATGTTATAAACTAAGCACTGTCTAGTCACAAGCATATTTTTATATTTTTTAACACATTTTCTTTATTTTATTTGGTTTGAGCTTATGTTAAATCGAGGGTTTTGTTTGGTTCTTAGCGCTTCTAATCATAAGTCGTTCTCATTTAGTTAAGCTTCCAATTTGTTTGCACAATTAAGGTCGATTGCAAGCACGAAATTATTTATACGACGATAACGCCAGGCGAATTAGTCACTATTCCTATATATACTAGATATATATAGTATATAAGAGGTATTTCGTCTTAGCGCACTTTCACAGACTGCACCTCCAGCCAGATGATGACGGCGGCTATGGCCAGATATATGGCCACGATCATGAATATCTGCAGGGGACTCGCCGTAAAGACCTGAACCACCAGCATCACGGTGCCCAGGATGAAGACGAAGCTCAGGAAGAAGACCATTAGAATGGTGGACCAATTCCGGAACCAGGCATGTTTCCTCTCCGGCGGCGGGACAAAGATGGGCTTCAGGGGACTGTACTCCTTCCGGTATTGGGTCTCATAGCCGCTGGTAAAATCAACCTCATCGTGGGACATTCCCGGCATCGAGGAACTGGCCATCTTCTCATCCGTGTCCATTTCGAAACGCCGTTCGCAAGTCAACTAAAAAGAGAGACTCTCTCGCCTGGTCTTCGGTTATTTTCACAGTTTGTACCCATTACTTGGTGAGTCAAAGGGTATATTGGTTTCTTGGTAAGCTTTGTAATAATAAATATTACCGATTTGATGATTATGACACTCACAGATATGCCGCCTGAAGACAATAAAGGGTATTCAGATCGGGTGCTGATAAGCAAAGGTCCGCTAGTTAATCACAAGCGATTGCCAGTTCAAGAAGAGCAAAAGAAGAATAAGAAAAAATTGGAGAAGGTGTAAAGCTAAGTTGTGCTGCTGCAGAAAAAACTTTTCATTGCATTAAAAGTGTAAAAGTGAATTAAAAACAAAATAATTTATTAAAACAATGAAGTGAAAAGATGTATACGAATATGGCAAACGAAAAAAGTAAAAATATTAAAATACAAGAATAAAAACAATTGAGACTTTTGCGGACACCTGCAGGCAGACTTGAGGTGTAAAATTAACTTGTGCGGCTGCGAAAAAAATGTGAAAATCCCTTAAAAACAAAATAAATTAATAAAACTAATTAGTGAAAATATGGCAAATGATAATCGAATGAAAAACAATAAATTAAAACAATTAGACTTCTGCGGACATCTAAAGGCAGCATTAGTGTTCCAATAAGTGTGTGTGTGTGTGTGTGTTCGAATTGGATTCTGATAAGCAAAGCTCGGTTAGTAATCATAACTACCGTATGAGCTTGGGAACCGATTTCAAGTTCAAGTTCAAGTAAGAAAAAGAAGAATTAGAACAAGAAGAACAAGAGGCTTGAGAAGGTGTAAAATTAACTAGCTGCTGCGCAAAAAAAGTTATTCAATGGGAACAGTGCAATAATGCCTTAAAAACTAAATAAATTATTAAAAACATGAAGTGAAAATGTGTATATTGAAATGGCAAACACAATCCAGTGAAAACAATAAAACACAACAATAAAAAAATTAAGACTTCTGCGGACACCTGCAGGCACCAGCAGTGTTCCAATATATGTGTGTGTGTGTGTGTTCGATTGGATTCTAATAAGCAAAGCTCGGTTAGTAAATCATAACTACCGCATGAGCTTGGGAACCGATTTCAAGTTCAAGTTCAAGTAAGAAAAAGAAGAATTAGAACAAGAAGAACAGAGGCTTGAGAAGGTGTAAAATTAACTAGCTGCTGCGCAAAAAAGTTATTCATAGGGAACAGTGCAATAATACCTTAAAAACTAAATAATTTATTAAAACCAAGTAGTGAAAATGTATATATTTATACGGCATAATGAAAATCGAGTGAAAACAATAAAATAAAACAATAACAACAATTGAGACTTCTGCGGACACCTGCAGGCAGCATCAAAGCTCCAATATTTGTGCGTGAGTGTGTTCAAATTAAATGCTGATAAGCCGAAATCCGTTAGTTAATCATAACTACTGTATGAGCGTGGGAACCGATTTCAAGTTCAAGTGTAAGAGTGAACAAGAAGAATAAGAAATGGAACAAACTGCAGGTGTTCAATTTAACTTGTGTAGAAAAGCTTTTTCATTGAGAAGCTGATAAGCAAATTTCCGTTAGTTAATCATAACTACTGTATAAGCTTGGAGACCGATTTCAAGTTCAAGTTCAAGTTCACGAGTGAAAAAGAAGAATAAGGAGAAATAGAATAAACTGCAGAAGGTGTTTAAATTAAATTGTGCTGCTGTGAAAAGAGCTTTTTCATTGGAAAAAAGTGTAATAAAAACAAAAAAAAAAAAACTAAATTATAAAACAAACAGTGAACATTTGTATATAATAAAATACAAGAATAAAAACAATTTAGACTTCGTTAAAAGGCAGCAGCAGTCATACAAACATATATGAACATACATATATGTATAATATAAATGTAAAAGTGTATAAATGTGCTTTTGTCTATGCTTTACTGCTGGTGTGTTGCATGCATGTATAAATCCCTTTAAAAAAATGAAAAATAAATACTTTCAAGCGATGAGTTGTTCTAAATAAACAGTTTTACAGTGCGTGTTTATTAAAAGCGAATAAAAAGTAACAGCTAATAAAATATATTGTGCTAGTGAGTGTAGTTTTAAAATTCGTTCATTCCAATCCCTTTCTGGTTGGCAAGTGTACATAATTTTTTTGTTTTTTTTAAATTTTTTTTTTAAGTGTAAAAGTGCTACAAATATCAAGTGAAAAAGGAAGGGAGATGGAAAACCGCGAGTGAATGTGTGTTTAAAAAATCATGAACCTAAAAACTAAAAATGCAATTAAAACAAATTAAAAACGACTCAATACAAAGGAAATAAGGTAAGTCAGAAACAACGCAGAAGGAAAGGACAAAGACGAAAGATGCCAAAAGAAGCGAAACGAAGATAATCGGTGAGTGAAAAAATTCATGTAACTGTATTATATATTTTCTAATTTTTTTTACACAAATATTTTTAAAAATTATATTCTTTGGCCCAAGAAATTTTTTCCAATAATTTTTCACATGAATTAAAACTTCTCCCCCTTAATATTATATTAAAATTAAACAATTAACAGGGTATTTAACAGTTCAATCCCTCGTTTCGCTCTTTCCAAGTTCTCTCTTCATTTTTCTTGATTACCAATCAGCAGTGCCGAGCAACTGCGTTATTATCGCCACCTCCAAAAAGGTGTTAATTGGGGCAACAACAAAGAAGGCGAGAAAAACGCCAAGAGCTGACAATCTTTGTGTGTCGCGCTTCTGACTCAGATAAGATATTCTCTATACCGAAAGACGTATGTAGGAGACCCGTCAGCGAAGAGCAGAGAATCCCAGAGTGACAAGAAAAGTACACAAAAATAAGAGAAGGCAAACTGTAGATTAAGTTCTTAGAACTTGTATGTATTTATTTACAGTTTTATCAATTTATGATATCCATCAATAACAAAATCTATTAGTTATAGATAAGAAACCATCTGAATTTTAAGTCTAAGTATTACAATGTCACTTCATATTGCGCGGAATATCTTCTGATAATTTTGGTGTTGGTGCTCTTTGACTCTCTTAAAAAATATGCTTTTATAGGGTTTGTTCTCTTTATTTGTACAATTGAAAAAAAAAACAACATTTGATGCAGTAACAATAGCTGGGCTTACAAAGGTCTATTTGGTTTTTGTATTTTTATACCTTGCAGGTATTATTTCAGTCAGAAGTTTGCAACGCAGTGAAGGAGCACCTCCGACCATATAAATATATATCTTGATCAGGATCAACAGCCGAGTCGATCTAGCCATGTCCGTCTGTCCGTCTGTCCGTCTGTCTTCTGTCCGTCTGTCCGTTTCTACGCAAACTAGTCTCTCAGTTTGAAGCTATCTGAATGAAACTTTGTAGTTAGCCTTCTATATACTCTTACTCGTATATATGTCGGAACGGGCCGGATCGGACGACTATATCATATAGCTGCCATAGGAATGATTGGAAATTTTACAAAAAAATTTAACATTTCAGTTTGAATAGAATTGGATCAAATTTGAGATATAGCCATATACATATAGCTTCCTTTCTTGTTATGGAATAACTTATTTTGGTTACTATTTATATGGGTGAAATATTTATATGTAATTCTTTGGATTATAAACAAAAATTATTAAATGACAAATAAGCTCTCACTAAAAAATCTTTCAAATGCAAAATACGTTTTGACCCACTGCAGACAGAAGCTGATAGGATCGACTTCTGCGAATATTTATGTTTGAACACAAGTTTTATGGAATACGTGACTCTACATAATTCTCAGTTTATTCCAAGCCTTGCAGTCGAAAAGACCTAATTAAAACGAAGCCTCGGGGTTCAGATCTTAATAAATCGAAGAATAATGAGGTAAAATAAGCAATTTGAAACTATTAAATCTTGATAAACCGACTAAACATTTTGGAATACCCAATTGAAGTGATGACAAAATAGTTTTACTGGAGGACGAATGCTACAACATCATTGAAGTGGATCCCGTGACTGGAAATAATGAGGATAAGGATAATGTGACGGTTTTAACTATACAAGAAGATCGTCCTTACCGATTTTTGCAAAATTGCAACAGTGTGGCCCTGTGGTTATGCGTTCTTTATAATTTGTGCATGATTTCGCTTTACTTTTCGTATTTGTTCACCGGAAATTAAATTGAAATGTCTGTAAAATGCAAAGTGTTATGTTTTCACAAATTCTGCCATCAAAGGAAACTTAACCCAAAGCCGCTAACTGATCTGCAGCCCTTAAATGTACTTAAACTTTGCTCTTTTTTAGTTCTTTTTTTCTTTTTATTGCGCCAAACAATTTAAGTTGTTGACAAAGTCATCAGCATGCAGCAGGCATCGGCTTTCAAAGAAATTGCAGCATCAGCGGGAAAAAGAATATAAGAAGTCGGACAACTTGCCTCTGTTGCATTTTTAGTTTCTCCTCGACAAAACTTTTATTTTGCTACAGCATCAACTCGATGCTTCTGTTTTTCGCAGTCAACAATTAGGCAAATCATTCGAAAAAAATGGTTTATATTTAGAAAACGATACTTTTAAAAGGTATTAATTTCACCGCACCTAATCTTAAAATTGTTTAAACATTATGTGAACTTTTATATCAGCGCCGTTAATCTGTTCTAAGCATGCCGCTCGTAAATTTTTAACACACGCCCGATTGTGTTATTTAAATCTAAGTCACAGCTTAAAGTGAAGGTTGCAGTAAAAAATGCCAAAATAAAAGCAGAAACAAATTCGAAATCAAAATTCATGAGGCAATGCGCGCGAAAAATAGCGACTTAGTTGATGGTTTTAAAGTCGGTATTCAGCGTCTGCCGCCCTTCAGATTTCCCCCGATTTTCCCCACCAAACATGCGTTTGTTGTTGCAAACTTTTTCCATCAAAAGTTTCGGCTTTCGATACGCCTGCTGATGGCAGCTTCTGGTTTTACCTCAGCTTCCCGATCCAGATAGGGATTGTGTGTTGAAAAAGGAAAATTCCGAGTTAGATATATAGAACTAATATCGTATTCGTATCGAAGAATACATTTATGGAATATTAAATAGTAATGATAGTTTGAAAAGGAGATTAAAATAGCTTCGATATTTACTTTAAAATATTTTATTACTTGAAAATAAAACTTTAACATTAAATATGCAATTATATTATTGAATTTTCCATAATATATCGAATTTCAATCTTAAAATCCAAGCGAAATTTTATATATCCGATATATGCATCCCACTTCCAGCTCCAGAAGCCAGCTCAGGAATTCAGCTTCAGTTGGGGAAAAGTGCCACTTCCGCTTTGCGTCAGTGCACACGGCTGCCGAGCACAAAAGTGTGACTGAAGTGGCTACCTTCCCGACCAATTTTCCCCACTTTCCCTCCGAGTTTTCCCCTGTTTCGGTGTGTGTGTGCGAGAGGCTCAGGTGTTAATTAACTGGGGCGAGGCGGCACTAAATTTAAAAACTGCAACTTGCCCAAAATTAATGAGACTGACGTTTTGTGTGAATCACGCGACTCCGGGAGGGGTATAATAATTTTGGTTGCACAGGAAGCTCTGGCTCTTTGAAGTGGCCAAAAAGGCTGGTCAGCAGATCATGAATATTCATCTTTGCCCGGCCACAGCTGAGTCAAGTACTAAGCCATCAAATTGGTTGGTAATACACTTGGCAAAATTGTAATAAATAAAGAAGGATTTAATTTCAAAGAATATGGTTGTATTTGGTATTTAAGTATTATAGGAAAATGTTTAAGCAATATTATTAAGACATTCTTCAATAAATTAAGTGCATATTCTATTAAAATAGTTATTTACTTTTTCAGACAAATAACATCTCATTGCGAATAATTTATTTCATTTTAATAAACCATGAAAATATTACTTAAATTCCAACTGCCAAGCAATAGCACTTGTGGTCTAATATAATTTGCCATTTCAAGTGTGGATTTGTCCGGATGCAAGATTAATTCCTCAAGCTAATTAGGTTAGTGTTTGAAATTCACTTGCCATAGCTGTTGTCCAGTCTGTGTGCCATCGATCTCTAGGCGAAGTGTGTGTCAACAAGGAGTGCTGGAAGAGGACGAGGATGAGGACGAGGATGAGGACGAGGATGAGGACGAGGACGAGGATGTCGTATTAGCTGGGCAAGTGAACTGTTGAGCTCAGTGCTCAGGACACTAAATCAATTGGGCCGAGTGTCTGTTGTGACATATCCAACTAATGATGATAGATCAGGCGGCGGTACGGTGCACTAAGTCACTCACACATGGTCGAAGGACGAATGCGAGATGTCCTGTTCTCTGTCCTTGTGCGACACCGTAACTAATTTCCCAGCCGGTCGCTCCATTGTCTCGTTTCGAGGACATCGAGAGCCAGTTTGTCGCAGACACCACTCCATTTATGCTCATTTACATGCCAGTCTCATTGCTCCTCATTATTTATTAATTGCATTTAATGCTGAATGCAAATTTGTGCACAAACCCAGTAGTAGTAACACACTTTGAGCCTCGGGCTCTTATTTAAATCGTGTCGCTTTTTCTAAACACTTGCTGCTTTTAATTGAATTTGTTTCGGATCGTTTTATCTCATAAATTAGGCAGAATAATTTCCACAACTAATAACTAATTCGGTTTGGGGGCAAAATGTGGTTTGAAAGCTACATAGTTTTTCTGGTTGAAAAATCAATTAACGAAATGGTACACATAAATTGTGAAATATTTGAAAATATTTGCGGGAAATAAATCAAGAATTATGCTAAAGTATTTTCGCTAAATTAGATATACCAATTTATGATGTTGTTTTTTTTTCTCGTTCTTAATTGAATTTCCCCGTTTAGCTTATTGATCAAATAAAGTTATTTCGAGTCCATAAATTAGTAATTATTCATGATTTCTGTAAACAATAAATAGTAGATGTGTGCCCTTGGGTAAAAGCATAAACATTCTAATTAGAGTATCATCAATAAAAAGTTTAGAAATGCAAGTTTAAGATATATTCTGCAATTGTTAATAAATTTAACATAGTTTTCTTTCTAGCTTCTACTATATAAATTCATTTTGATTTTATGCAGAAAAGTATTTAGACTAATTGCAGTCCTGGGTTTTTTTAATTGCAAATTACATTTGCTCTTTACAGCATCCGCAATCCGCTTAGCCTCTAATGCTCATTAAATGCAATTAACTTTGCACACATTATCGGTTGGTTTTACTTATATATATAAAATATATATGTATATATATTTATATATCTTTTTTTTTTATTTCAAGTGGTGACAAATTGGGCATGAAGTTTCAAATTAATTTAAAGCTATTTTGACAGTTAATGTTTTCCCTTTTTCGGTCTGCGTTAGTTTATTAAATTAAGCAGGCATTAAACGTGGCTGTGACGGGTATTTGGGTCAACTGGGCAGCAAATAAAAAAAAAAGAAGCCAGTGAAAGGGTTGGAATTTAATTAAATGTGCGCATAAATTATGCAATATAATGGCAAATGCACTCGCACTTATGCTCACACTCCATGTCACCCAGTGCGTATACGCAATTCCACAGGCATATTTCATTGCCTCCATGCACACATATACACCTCTTGGCATTCGCATAATTGCCAAATATTAAATTCAGCCCACCCCCCCCCCTCAGGAAAGTATGTAGTCGAAAATGTGCCCCCTCTCTCCTCCCCAGCTACATTATTAATGCAATTTCCGAGGGCAATGAGATCAGATGGGACTCTCCCCTTTTTCCACCCCAATTACGGGTAAATCCCCGGCAATAAGAACGGGTTCTCATTTCTCAGTTAACTGCATTTTTTTTTTTGTGGAAAGAGCTTAACAAGCCATAAATCTACTAATATACAGAAATGGTTATGGAAATCCAAAAGAGATAGGAAAGGGATAATTACTGGTGTATTTTAAGCAGTAATTTATTTCCTTAAGGATTTTTGGATATCTAAAAAATTACAATCTTATATATCATATTTTGTGGAAATTGAAATGCCGTTTTGTAGGTCATTTCAAGTTTTACCCATTAGCTTTTCAGCCAGGCCTTGGCATTTATAATTACTTCTTGTGTATTTTAATTGGCACCACTCGAAATTATGTATTTTCCCAAAGTTATTATTCCGAAAGAAATAATTATGTGAAGCGCATTGGGAGACCACTACAATGGCGCCTGTCGAGAGCGGATGCCACCACATAGTTTGTTTTGTTATGTCCGGCAGTTATTTCCAGTGCACTTGAAAATAAAAGATATAGAAAATCTATATAAAGATTTGGTATACAATTTGCCATTACTACAGTTTATATATATCTATGTATTTTATTTGTATTTTTCGAAGTCTATTTCCCATTTTGTAAGGCTCAAATAATAGGTTTGATATCTGAAAGGAATTTATTAAAATTTACCATCAAATTAGATAACATCCTTGTCTAAAACTATAGAATTTTTCGTTCCGTGTGGGCGGTAATGGTAATGGGCGTGTCACAGTTTCAATTTACAAGCGTGTGTAGTTCACACGCATGTCCATAATTTGGCCCGAAAAACGCACACACACAAGTGCGACAATATTGCCATTGCTTGGCACTTGCTATTATTGTTGCGCTGCCTCGTGCCTCATGCCTCATGCCTCGTGCCTCGTGCTGCCATTTACCAGCTCCTCGCTTGTTTCAAAACAGTTTGCACATTGTTGTCATTAAGGACAATCGAGGAGGAAGGATGGGAGATAAGTGAGAGCGAGTGTCCCCATAATAATAATGCCATTGTTTATGTTGTTCCTGGTCAGGCATTAATATCACAGTAATTTCAATATTTAGTCAACCACTTTATAATGTGCGGCTTACTAATGATTATTAATTATTGTTAAATGTTCGCCATCATTTTGGGCTGAGCGCTGTTGTTAGTTGGTTAACCGCAAATTAGACGCGAATTATGGTTGATCCTTTAACAAACTGTGGTTCGTGCCACCTTTTCAGCGCATTATGCACTCCATTACCAGATCATCGATAAGATGAGTATGCTTATTTATTACGTGGCCCAAAACTACAGCCACTAATTACGAGCATTGGCCAACAATTAAAAGTCATTTATTATCTTGGCCGCGTCCTTGTCCATAACAATGAGTTATGGCCACTAATTAAATCAGCAAATTACAAGCACGCACATTACGCATA